GGGGAAACCTGATTTCCGTACATTCTCACCAACTTTGAATAACAGTACCCCGTGGCGATTGTACACCTTGATATGATGAGGTCTCACCGTGACAAGGATGTTTCCTCCACCGTTGGGTACGTGTACGTGTGACATGGGTACCCCTGTACACTCGAATCTCAAACTCAACGAACCGTTTGGCTGGAATACCAACACCTCCCACGAGTTGGTCACGATGACTTGCTTGTTGGTGACGTCCACTGCAATGCTGTGATATGGAATAAATGTTTTCCTTGTAGTGTCAACTTTGAACTTGGTCAAAGGCTGTCCGTCGCGACTGTACTGAACCACACGCACCATGCGCCTCTTAGTCCCCCCAATTACCCACAAATGTCCCTCTCCATCAATGGCGACATCTGAGGGATTAATTTTCGCCGCCTTTTTACCCGGGATGACTGTTGGGAAGAGACGGAGGTAGTCCCCGCGCATACTGAAGACTTGGACCCGTTGGTTGAACGAATCAGTCACGAAAATCTCTTTGTCAGCAGACAAGGAGACGGCGACTCCGCGGTTGTTTCGAAATTTCCCAGGCTCCGCTCCCTTTCCACCAAGGACGATCTTCTTTGATGTGTCATTTTTACGGTTCCTATCTACATGTATACAGTGGAAGATCACAATTATTACTCTTAAAACAATTTGTGGTGATAGAAAAAAACCCACAAAAATAGCATTGTTATAAACAAAAAAATCTTGAAATATTTCAGAAGTTTGTCATACAGTATTGTGTTAATTTGTGTCGTCATGATAACACAGGACTTTGATTTGCCATCAGCCCCCCCCCCCCACATTAACATATTTAGTTACCGTGTGAGGTGCTTGAGAAAGACGACAGTGTTGGAGTTGTTTCTCCAAAGGAGGCATCAGAACTGGTTACCTGTAGGATAATATCAAAATTGAATTCAGAATTATAGAAAAGCTACAATTAAATGTAAAAAAACTTTCATGTTTTAAATTAAGTGCATGAAATAACCATATATAATTACGTTTTCTTTATTTGACCTAGTACTATTGCTGAAGTAAAGTCTAACATTCATAACATACTTCTAAATGCAACAGTTCAAATAGATCAGGAAAACTATGATGCTTCTGAATATTTTCGTGGCTACAAAACCATGATGCTATACATTAAAGCCTTTGGTCTTACAAATATAATCTACTTAACATTTTACGTTTTACCATCAATGATTTTGGTACGAGAATCAATCGAAAACCGGAAGCTTGAATGAAGTATTGATTCTCTCTCACCTCAATCGTACCAGACATCGGCGTTAAAGCAGAAGTACAGCTGGTGGGGTCATCCGAGGTATGGGTTGGTTTCAATGTCGGCTGATGGGGAATTATGTCTTCAATTAGTTGGTCCACAATAACATGTCATGGCAATATTTTCTAAGCAATACTCTTTCCTTTACTAGGTCCGTTTACCTATGCCATCCTGGTCTGTTTGTTTGTTTGTTTACTGCTGTTACACTTACAAATAAAAGAAAATATGACAATTGAGAAATAAATAGACATGCATGAGAGAGCCGAAATCTAGTGGTTTATCTTAGGCTCTCCCCAATACTACCAAATTAAAAGATAAATTACGATTATCACTAGATAAACCAAATTTGAAACAAAGAAAACAATACTAGCTGGTCTATCTCCAATTTTCTCCTCTGGCCCCTTCTACCCAGAATAATCGGCAAGTGAGGCATAGGAGAAGCTAGAGTAGTGTGGATACCAGGCTAGACGAGAAATTAAAAGAAACGTTACCATTGGAGTCTCCTGCTTATCGGTGACCATAAATACCCCGATCAAGCTCCCGCCAGTAACCAGCAGTATGATAGCTGCTAGGATAGCAAAGAACTCCCATCTATTCCATCCTGAATAATATTATAGCGGCTTAAAACCATTAAAATGAAAAAAAGATGATCAAAATGTCAAGAAAGGAATGAATCATGTGTTATTGTAAAAGAGCAGTGTTAGTAAATTGGAAGTAAAAGGCTCTAAATTGAAACATTTTCTAGAATGTCGCTTAAAATCACATAATATTTAGATGCATAGCAACTCAATTAGAAGAACTCCGGAATGATGATCATTGAATCAGCGAATATTTCCGCTTTACATGTTGAATCAGCAAACAGTTCTGCTTTAGATGTAGGTCTTTTTGACCAGCATTTACACTAGTCGCGTGTTAAATTGTTCTTCTGTGTTTGTTCCTCTTTTCCTGCTACTTGCAATTAATCAACCAGAAAAGGTTTAGTTTTCTTCAAACTTTGAGGCATCACGCAAGGAGAAAAAAAAGGTTATGAAAGGAAATTACTCATCAGGACTTACCAAAAATGTGCTGTTGGTGACTGTTCGCCACGCACACCGGCGGCTGATGTCTACCGTCACGGACATCCCTGTTGACAGAAGCATTGACAGCACCCATGGATGAGCTACATCCTGCTGAAATGGTCGAGCTGTCATTGGTTCTGTGTGAAACCACGTCTTCCTGACCCATGTAAGCAACAGCATACGGTTCAATGTCGGCGTTGTCAGGGCTGATGCCCCGCACTTGTTCGATCCCTGTTGCGTCTCCGTTTTTCGGCACGTCATCGTCTTCCCCATATCTAACAGCGTACGGTTCAATGTCAACATTTGCGGGGCTGATATCCTGCGGTTGTTCGTTCCCCGTTCCATTAGTTTTTGTAGCCGTGTTATCACCATATGTCTGATTTCGAACAGCATATGGCTTGATGTCGAAACTGTCACCAAAGTCTTCTTGCCTGCAGGCCGATTCCTCTGTTTCAATGTGCGGACTTAAGCTTGTAGACCTGGAAGCTGAGCCTGTTTGTGCCGTACCATTTGCAGGATTTCTGGATGCCGTGTCAGACGTGACATCTTCGGTAATTTCTGATGGCGTAGCAGCTATATCTGCCTCTGGTACTTGAAGTTCAGGGTTTTGAACATACATTGGATTAGGGTTGCGGACATTTGGCGGGTACACAGGGTTACATTTCAATGTGTTTTCCACGTACATCAGATTGGGGTCTTCAATATTTGTTGACACGGGATTGAAGGGCATTTCTGTGTACAGTTGGTTCTGGATCTTGTCCTTTTGGAGGCCCGTCGTTTGTGGATAAAGCACATTCGGTTGGTGACGAAAGTTCTGGGCGTTTCCGTTATTGGCTGAACCACGTCTTACTGGTTGGTCTAAGACATCATCGCTGCTGCTCGAAGATGTCTTCTTTCCTCCGCAAGATTTCTTAGTTACAGCTGTCTCTTCTGAACTTGTCTCCACACACGTCGTGTAATCCTGGCACTTGTATGCACTTGGCGGAACGTCGTCGTTGATACCGGCAGTATCAGATGCGATCTCAGGCGCAGCTCCATTTTCCGTGGCGTTGTTCTCGTAATTAATGTCTTCGTCATCAATGTCCTGTGCATCGATGTCTTCGTCATCAATATTTTCGTCATCAATGTCTTCGTCATTAATGTCCTCTTTATCCATATCTTCGTCGATGTCTTTGTTATCATTGTCTTCGCTATCTTGCTGATATCTGAGAGCAGAGGACTTGGTGAATGGATCATCATCGTCAGTCTGCTGACCGAAGCTGGGTTCTCCAGATCCAGGATCTAGACTTGATGACGTCACATCGCCTTGCTGTGAATCGCCGAGGGAACTCATTGTCGGGACGTCGTCATTCTGTTGTAACGTCTACAGTTAAACTTTCATAGTGTTAACGAAAAGACGGACATATATAATGGGCCTTACGTACTATCACGCGTTAAAAAACATATAAACATACGGACTCACAGGGCGCCTGAAGGTTTGATCGTCATCAAAGTATGACAGATTCGTACAAATAATTGTAATTTTAACTTTTCCGTAAAATGCTACACACTTTTGTGCGAAACATCGACCGACTTCCTTCGACAATTATTGCTTTAGCAGAGTATTTGATTGTTACTTCTTTCCAATTCGCTCGCTCCCAAAACAGGGGCTTATCCAGTCATATTAATTTCCATAAATGAAACATCACTGGCAAATATGTCTGGTTAAGCACGTACAGACATTCTAAATAATCACTATTGTCTGCCCTTCTTGTCACAGTTTTTTTCTAATCTGTTGTCGATTTTATTGTATGAATAATCAAAACAGATTGGTCTGTAAAGTTTGGTTTGGATTAATCCATTTTCTTATTGATTTTCTAATCATTTTGTTTCTAAAAAAAGCACACTACTGAATGTATTTCAATAATGTTTGTCGTGAATTCATTTGTATTGGCCGAAGATGGTGGTTATCCAGCTTTGGGTGTCCATTGATGTTTCTTTCAATATCTAGCTTTCTTTGGAATTACAAGTTGCAATCGATTCCTAGAGTACGTATCGTATTTAGAAACGTGCCTATCTAGTTCTGTACCAGATTGGGTTAGGGATAGAATCAGGCATGGCTCTGGGCTCGGCGTATCCAAGAACGTAGATTTGCCCCAGGCACGGTTCTGGATACGCATGAACTATCT